CAAGAGGGATAGTGAGTATATTCATCCGGGATAAAACTTGTCCAGTGGAGTTTCAGTGGAGGTGACTTCAGTGTAGCTAAAGGGAAGAATTTCACAGTAGGGTTGAAAAGAAAAGAAGAGTGCTGATCAGCGAGAGGTCCCTACGCAACCAGTGCTATTTGGAAAATGGAAAGCTGTAGATAGAAGCTAAGTTCATCATTTCACGGCCTCTAAATATACATAAGTGGAGAGATTATATCCAAGAATTATTGCTATAGTAGAACAGCCTGTGAAAGAGACAGATTGCTGTTGTTACAAAATGTACTTTGTCTCAGATATGTCTTTGGTAGTGAGAAGTGAAGTTCTTTCCCAGTTTCACATTTATATTCTTCAATGAGCTCTGAAGCCAGCAGATTTGGTTTCAATTATCAGCCTAGAAGTACAGAACTTTCTTTCTGTAATTTTTTTTTAATTTAAATAAACAAACAAACATGTTAGAGTTAGAGGAGGAGTTTAAAGAAAAGCTGTAAGAAATCTTGGACCACTGCATCTTAAGCACCCTTTCCTGCTTGGGTCGAGTGCTGCTCTTCGCCTCCACTAAGGTTCTTGGGGTGAACAAACCAAGCCCAAACAAGCTTCTAACCCACTGGAAAATGCTGCTTCTCCATGTTGCCACAACCCAATCTTAGTACATTATCACAGTACTTTTGCTCATCTCCTGGGGATACAATCACGTTGTTCCTCGCACCTTGTGGTACATCCGTTTCCTACTCCCTGGTTCCTGATGTGCTCTCGCAGCATTGCCCCTCCCGCCTCCCCTGTGGGCAGGTGGAAGCGTAGCCATTGCAGAAGTCAATCCTTCATCCTGCAGGCTCTGTCTGCAAAGGAGTACCATCGTTTTGCAACCACTATCTTGCACCGCTTGACCACTATGGCTGAGGCAGTGCAGCAGCCCTCCCACCACACTGAGGTCTTGCTGCAGCTCTCTCAGCGTATCTCAGCTTGCAGAGTGGTGGGAATAAACACAGTGGCTCAGAAATAGGTGACACACAGCTTGTAGCAAGCATTTCTCCTGCTGCTCTCTCCTCTAATACGTTGAGCTCATCCCTCGTATCTAAGCAACCCCCATGTCTTGATTTGTGATTGACAGCCCATCTCTCCTGCTACCGCATCTGGGTGTTGATACTGACAGTTCTCCACTTATCTTATTTGGCCAGCTGTTTGCAGAGTATCGATGGTTTGAAAGAAGCCAGAGCAGCCCCACCTTTCTTCTCCATAACCTCCCTCCTTCCCTTGGCCTTGGTTAAGGTTGAGGAGTAGCCTTGTACAACACAACCTTCCCATCAGCAGTGAGCTGCGGGATGTTCCTGGGGCGCAGCATCCTGCCGAAACCGTGCTTCTCCATCGGCAGTAGCTGCAGCCAGGGTTCAGGCACGCTTCTAGACAGGGGTGAGTTTTGGAATGAATATACAGTAGGATGGCAGGTAATAAATCATCCACAGCAAAAACAAAGAATGAACCAAGCAGTCCCAGAAGCTATATGGAGGCAATCCGTCCATCATCAGCCCGCAGGTTATAGCCCAGGTGTTAACAGGGCAGTATATTTATTACCTCATTATTATTTGCAGTAAGTCAATCCAGCCTTTAATTAATGCCCTGCTCTCTTCCTCCAGCCATTGGCCACAATGGTTTCTTGGAGCACATGTTTATAAAACTACATACTGTGCTCAGAAAGGAAATTTAGGAGTATCTGTATGAAGCCTGCCTGGCATCCTAACTACTGCTGTGAAAATTCATGGGGTACATGGCTGATGGTCTGAGACTTGCCAGAATACCACTTTGTCATGTGCCTGATAGTTTTGACCACTGAATTCCTCTTTAAGATTGTGTGTGTGCATAGACATAAATCCTACTGCCTTTCCACTCCCTCCTCCTTCAGTGGCAGCTCTCATTTAAGACATTTTTGTCTGCTGTTCAGTTCCCTCCCTGCAGGAAAGTAACTGTGTACCCTCTCATGAAATTCAGCTGATACGATGGAGGTGCTCTGAACTGAAATGATGCAGCTGTAAAAAAATACCTCCCACCTCCCTGGAAAAAAAAAGGATTCTTCTGCTCCTTGGTGAAGAGAGAAATTACTGTTTAATTCTATAATCATTCAGCTATGATGAAGCTGACGAGGCCTCTGTAACATCTGAGTCCAAGGGTAGTGTCCTTCTCGCAGTGCTCCCTCATGAAGGAAAGGAACGTGCCAGTTTGTCCTGAGTGTGCTGGTACACTGAAACCCAAATACGAGTTACTGGGATGCTTCTATTCTCATTGATTGTAGTGTGGTTTTGTGACAAAAATTCAAAATTTGGAACAGTGATTTATGCTTTCCTAAATTCAATTTTAAGGTATTATATCAGTTTCCTAGAGGGCATAAGAGAAAATTTAAAATGGAAAGTACATTTAAATGCACCAAGTGCTTCCCAAATCCAAATCAAGTGCTTCCCACTTCATTTCTGTTTAAATGCAGGAAAATACATCTGGATAAGGACTTAATATGGCAAATTTTAGTCCAAAAAAATTAGATTTTGGAATTTAAAACTTAAGAGCATCAAGGATGATTTGAGAAAGCTCTCATGACTGAGTGATGAAGGCAAAACTTTAATAAAAACACAGGCTGGAAGAATGCTGCATCGTAGCAGGGCTGTTATTGCTGTTACTGTCATCGTCAGCACTGAGCACCTGGTAGGGCATCAGTGGTTGGGGGAGCGAGGTGGTAAGAGCTGAGGGCCCTTTTGCCCCCATCTGTGCCCCTCTGGTAGGCAAATGTCCCCCTGAGCTCAGGGTGGTCCTTGGCTGGTGTTGCTTGGGGTGTGCGCCCCCGTGAGAGTCCACTGAGATCAATGGTGGCATGTGGTGACTTCATGTATATATGCATGATATAATAACCCCTAGCTCATTGAATCAGCTGGGGTTTTTGGGGAGTGGAGGACTGGTTTAGTTTTGGTTTTGTTTTGGTTTTTTTTAAATCAAATCTCTTAATAAGAGCATTTTTAGTCATTTGTCTTAGCTTACTGAAACTATTTCTTTTTGCCTTCCTAAACAACCCTGTATCCCAAGCTTAGAGAAATGAATGTGTGCACTGCTGCTTTATTGGTAACACATCACAGCACTTCCCTATATGACACAGAGCATGTTAAGTTTTTCCCAGACAATATCAGTCTGTCATTCTTGGAGAGGATACTATAAGTCTAATCCGTCCAGAGGCAGCTCTTCCAGTTTCCGAAGTTTATTGCTAATGAGGATGCACATAGGATGTAATCACTGGCAGGAGCCTCTGCTTCGGTGTACAGCGAGGCCAGCAGACAAGTAAGCGGCCAATTTTATCTGGCTGTTCTCTCTCCCTTTTATCAGGGCTGTTTGGCTGGGGTTCAGGGGTGTTAGGGGGAACTGCAGATGCTTTCGGTTGTAGAGTTGAGTGACAAGGTGTGAGAAGACATGAGACAAAGCCTAAGAGTAGCAAATATGTGTGTGTTGAGAGAGGCAGCTCTGCATTTCACTGCAAAAGCTGAAGTTTTTTGTTTTTTGTTTTTTGTTTTTTTTAAACACTAAGAACTACTGGCTGAGCTTTGCTAAAGAGATACAGGAAGGCATCATTCCAGTAGGGCTGGTCAGAACTAGCATCCGTTTGTAATAACCCCTGTAACCTTATTAATTTGCAGATGCTTTGCTGCCAGCATGACCTAACCTCAGCAGGTTGCTGCCACAGATAAAAAGAAAAGGAAAATCACCATGTTTTAATGTGAGTGGTGGTTATTTATGGCAGGTGCAGGAAGTTTCCAGTGGGTTGCAGTGGATCTTCAGTGTCAGGAGGGAAAAACTATTTAGCAGCCATGGCATTATGGCAATTCAAGACTACTCACAGCCTGCTTTACTAGATTAAATGTTTAGTTATCTGCAACTCCCAGTGAAGTCTTTGACAGCACGAGGCACAGAGTACCTTTAACCCCAAAGAACAGTCAAGCTGTGAAGTGTATTAGATGAATGTTCCTTGCACTGCTTACGTGGGAGTTGCACGTTGCTGCCGGCTCTGCAGAAGTGGCAAGGGATGTATCTACAGCATGCAATGGCACATGCGGTGGAAGCGGGAGATAAGTAAGCTTGAGGATGAGTCCGGCTATGAGATGGGGTGCAGAGCCATACTGACAAGAGCTGTACTGCTCCGGAGACATTGCAGCCACTGCTGGTGCCAGTGTCCGTGCCCACCCATGCTGTTGCACAGAGTTGGGCTGGGAGGAGCCCCCTGCATCAATTAACTTGTTGGTTTTTGATGGTAGGTGAAAACCAACCAACAGTCATTATAAGCCAAATAGCAATCCTATATCAACCAGTCATTGAAGACAGACTTTATTATACCTTCTATTAACCCTTTCCAAATGATGTGAGAGCTCTTGTTTCCTTCTGGCCTCTGGCCTCAAGAGGACTACTGGTAAGAGGCAGTCCCTGTTGGAGCAGAGGTTAGTATTCAGGTGTCGCTGGCACAAGTGTCCACCTCACCTCATTAGGATCAAGTTGACTTTGCCACCCTATGACCCCATATTATAGAGGAAAAGAGCTTCTTTCATGTAGCCATTTGAAAGTGAAGATAGCTTCAACTTCCTTCTCTTAGTCTGAAATGTTGTAATCTTTCTCTGAAAAAAAATTAGCTTTGGAACTTGCTTTTGCAGTGGGGTTGGTAGTACATCTCTCCAGGCTGCAGTGATCATATAGGATGTGTTCAGTCATTCTGAGTCATCTTCACTCTGTAAAGTGTCAGTTTTCAAACATGTTGGATCAACTGTGGTGTTTTTCTTTTAAAAAAATTAGCTTTGGAACTTGCTTTTGCAGTGGGGTTGGTAGTACATCTCTCCAGGCTGCAGTGATGATATAGGATGTGTTCAGTCATTCTGAGTCGTCTTCACTCTTTAAAGTGTCAGTTTTCAAACGTGTTGAATCAACTGTGGTGTTTTTCTTTTCTTTTCTTTTATCCTGTGCAGTGTTTGAAAATAAAGATAAAATTGTGATCATCATGGAGTATGCAAGTAAAGGAGAGTTGTATGATTATATCAGTGAGAGGCGGCGATTAAGCGAACGAGAGACAAGACACTTCTTTCGACAAATAGTCTCTGCTGTACATTACTGCCACAAGGTGAGCAAATGATTTAATATTAAAAAATGCTATTTGAAGGCTGATTAGTGACATATATTTTAAAGCATATCTGAGGCAACAGCATTCATTATTAAATATCACAGCACGTGATTTTATCAGTACAACAGGAGATCTTCATTAAAAGAGCTACAGTAGTTCACTGCCTGTTTTTAAAGACTAAGGATGTTTTCCTGTGTAATGGCAGATACGAACCACTCCCTTACATTAGCCCTACATTGTATTTTGCCTTGGAAATAATTCTCCTGACATTAAAAAAATAAACCCCACAACATTAACTAGAAAAGTCATCCCATAGAACTTAATACATTCAAACAAATGATAGTTTGCAATTTGAATACGTATGTGAACAACTTTAGAATAGGAGGTAAAATACATGAAAGAAAAAAGCCAAGAGAAAGGTATGAGTGTTCATGTATGAGCTTTAGTACATACTCCTTCTGGATAGGCAAAAGTAACTTTTCCAGATGTAGTGGGAGCACTAGAAAGATACCCTTTGTTAATGACTTTATTCATCATGGTACCCACTAGAATGACAATTTAAGCAATTAAACCCAAGGTAGCTGACTGACTGTCATTATGGACCTTTTATCCCTGCTTATAAATCAACTGCATAGAGCCAAAACTTGCATGAGGCTAACGGCAATAAGCAGCTAACACAATTTTTTATTTGAATTCTTAAACACTTTAATCTCCACTTGAATTCTGATAAACAAGGGAGGTTTTCAAGGTTCTCACATCTCAGCACTGAAAAGCTGCAGTGCCCTTCCCTGTGCAGTTAATTTTTCACAAATTTCTTTAAAGAAGGCTCTGACCTAAACCTAGCTTGTTTGCTTCCATCCCTAACATTTACAGTCCTTTAGGATTATAACTCTCGCGATCCACATGGCTGCACATTGGAGGAATGAGGGCTTTTGTAAGGACTAACGTCATTGACAGATATTGTTTTCTGGTGCCTGGGAAGAATATATTGCTTTCACGCAGTGGGGGCAGGATCCAGGCTGGAATTAAGTTCTGAAAAGACACCCCCCAGCCTTCCACCCCCCACCCCCCCCTGCTGTTTTAGAGGCTTTGTGGGAGGACAGATTCCAGTCATTCTTCCCTTAACCACACACCAAGTGACTAATACATCGCCTGTCACTAGTCACTGGGCCGTGAGTGTTATGACAGTGAAATCAGCCCTGAAATGTAGATGCAAAGACCACCCTGCCAGCTCACCTTTAGTTTTCCCAATATTTTCTCATGTTCTCCCCGTTTTTTTCTTCCTTGTTTCAGAACGGTGTTGTCCACAGGGACCTAAAATTGGAAAACATCCTTCTTGATGACAATTTTAATATTAAGGTAGGATTCTTTTTCATAGCTTCTCAGATGGGCTTGCATGTTTTGTAACATTTTTATTCAAGGTATTAGAAGAGCCAGTGTTATGGCAACAGCTACTAAGCAACAGCATCTGGCAAGAGGCTCAGGAGTTTGGAGGCTGGGGAAGGAGCAGCACTGGTGACCAGTCATACACGATAAATGAAGCTTTGCATAATTTGGGGGAGAAGGTCCTGACCTGCCACCCAAGGACCACGATTCCCAAAGCAGTATCTATTTACTGGTAGGAAACAGCAGAGCATTTCATGCAGTCGAGTTTATTGTACGAATGATATTATTGCTGGCTGCTGCTGGGGCTAGGAAAAAACTCTCCTGGTCTACAGGGTTCAAGTGCCTCCTACAGAACACTCTGAATGTCCTTTTGATCATGGATGGAAAATAAGCAAATAGAGTTTCAAAATAAACCTAGTAAAGCACATGTGCTTCATTAGGAAATGGCCTTGGAACTCCAGACACAAACGTATACTTTGGATAGTGATGTCATTTCCATGTCATTTCTCCCCAGTGAAAGCATGAGAATGACCTTTTTTCCCTTCTTCTTTTTTTCCTAATAGCTGTAGCACAAAGATAAATAATGCAGATAGAAATGTAGTTCCCAGGTGGCTGAACCTGTTTTGCTTTCAACTTTGTTCCTCCCTGAGTAGCTGGATGTGAGGGTGGCTGGGTGCGCTCGTCTATGGGCGAACAAACGGGGAGGGATGCCAAAGGGTTTCTGCTGATGCTTGGGCATCCTTGCTTAATTAACAAAGTAATCAAGGAGCTCTCTCTGTAGCCAAATATCTAAATAGCCTGGATCTTCATTTTATCTCCACTGAAAGCCACAGGGCTGCATACACTGCCTTCTGTGCTTCACAGTGGAGAGATTGTCTTCATTTTAAGCTGATGTGCAATGGAAATGGAAAGTAACATATGGTAGCTGCCATCTGTGTAACGCTGATGACAGAAGCTAACTTGGAATAACTAGTGGATTAAAGGCACATAAGTACGTGGTTTCTAAAAATAGTCTTTTACAGAAGGCCCATCCAATGTAATACTTGGACCTTTTGCTGTTAACATCCAGTGTTAGAGCGAACCTCCCCACTCCTGCTCCTACAAGGACACTGGCTGCAGCAGCCCGAGCTGTTCTCAGCAGTGCTGAAACCAAAACGTAGCCTTTCTAGGACATTGTATATGAAACCGGCTTCCGCAGGCAGGATGACCTTTCTTTCCGCATTACATGCCGAACTATCTTCCCAGCTAATCAGAGAATTCTTGAGAGAAAAGAGGAATTTGGGGAATTTGCTAGCTGCAGTGGCCTGGATCTCTGCACTGTGGTCCTCATATGCAAAACCAATCACTTCCCCAAGCCTCCGGGGAGCTGGGCTTTGTCAGAAGGCTCCGCTCCCTCCCTTCTCTTCTTTTGGGAGTCTGATCGTCCTGCAGGGAGAGCGGGAGGATGGGGCAGGGACAGGTAGCTTTGTGTTCACATCCAGACCATGGACCTGACCCACAGGCTTCAGAGCCACAGATGTATTTCAGCTGCCATAGCGAGTGGCACTGCTGTGGAAGAAATTCCAGTAGCCGTAACTCCCCACATCCCTTCCAGTCATTTGGACGTCTTTTTCTTGAAGGTTTCCCCTTCCTGAACTGCATGGTGTTTAAGCTGCCATGTAGGTATTTTGCATCTTTCCAGCCTTTCCTCTGTTGCTTCTCTGCAAACCATAAGGCAAGCCTCTGAGCGGGCAAGGCTGCCTTGCTGTGGGTAGGTGGCTGCAAGCTCCATTACTGTCCTCTAATTCTGCAAAGAGTCTCTTGAAGCAAAAAAATAGTCCAAACTTGGGAAGCAGTCTGTATTTCATACATCTTACTATCAATAGTGTTTGAATTTGGATTACTTCAAGAGATGACTTTTATCAAATCGATTCTGTGATTCTGTTTTCCTCTTTCTCCCTGCTCTCTTTTTTTTACACCTCGTGACTAAGATCAGCTTGGCATATTTGATGTTAAGCACACTGCTACTATTTCCCTGATGCTGAAGCTTTGAATATGTTACTGTGGTTTCTATGTTACTTGCACAGAATTTTACTTCCCATTTTTTCTTTGTTTCACTAAACAGTAATCGTTGGCAAGGAAACACATATGGAGCTGTAAATTATTTATTACGAGTAAATTTATCAGGTCTTCATTCTGAGAGTATTTATATATGGTTTATTCAGGAAGAAAAAAGAAATATGTAATTTGGGGTTTGGTATTGATGGTTTCAAATACTCAGTGGAAAGCATTTTCTAGAAATGGAGTGACAGTCTTATCTGTACTTTCCCAGTATTTATATTTCATTCAGTGGATTACAAAGCACTTACAAAATTGGCCGTTTGATTTTAAGAATGAGAAAAAGAAAGGAATCTCTTTGTTCTTGGATGCAATGTGCAATTAAATACGTGTTTCTGAAGAAGCCAGTGATCTATACATTATGATATACACAAACATGTCATAGTTACGTGAAAAAAAAAATAAGATGTTGTAAAAATAGATCCATGTATAGCAACTTAAGCAATACTTTTAGAACAGGAAATAAAGAGGACAAGTAATCCATTAGAAATTATTATCCGACCTAAAAGGGCCCCAAGCCATTTTACATGATACTACACTAACTTGGAAACCATTCTTAAATGTTAGCTAATTAAATGAATGTCATGAAGCAGTGTATGGAGACACAATCAGCTTTTTTTTAAGAGTTACAGTAGTGATTAAAAGTCTCTGGAAATCGAGTCATATGTTGGAGTAGAGCAACTAGGAAACACCAGTGTCTGGAAGCTGACAAAAAATTACACATTTTGAAGAGTCTGCAGGTCCACAGGCCAGAGGTGGAGTGTGATGAGGGGAAGAAAGTGACCTGATCTGTGGTGTATAATTTATGTTTTTCAGTGACTTGGTGTATGTGGTAATATTTCCTGCAAGCTATTACTTAAAACCCCTACATGTAGCAAACATAAGTTAATAAAATGAGTTTTAAACACTTGTGAGACTGAACATGCATGCAGATCTATGGAGTGCAAGGAGTTCATCCAGTGAATTAATCAAACCGTACCTTGCCTTGCTGCCCAGATACACACCCAACTATCTAGCGGAAACCCCAAGTGTGAATGTTTCTCCTGGGACCTAGCCTGTCTGTGGGGGTCAATAGAGGGGCACAATCCTTGAGCTAAACCTTACTGAGACACTGCAGCCTCCCAGGGCAGAAGAGCATTATTTGCTTTTTTACCTTGTTCATGGTGCCATGTTCTTTAAAGAAATAATGTGGCAATGATATTAGGGTTTCTGCAGCATGTACAAGCCTCTTCTTCCTCACATTCATGTGCCAGCTGTTAACAGCACAGTTCACCTTAAAATTTACTCCATTTTCCTTTCAGCTGCCTGCACTTGGTGACTTCCACCAAGGTAACTCAGAGCTGCCCCTCCGCTTGCCCCAGGTTCCTGGGGGTGGGTACAGCTGCTGAACACGTACAGCTGCGTACCCCCCCCTCGCCGTGCACAGTACCAGAGCAGCCTCTTGCTGGCGTTTTCATCCCATTGAGAGGATATCATCATTCATAATCCTAACACAGCTAGAGGTGGGCAGGGTCAGACAGACAGCAGAGCTAAGGCAGCCCCAAAGCACCGAAGGAGCTGACCTGAGTCAGTGAGTTAGAAAGCCCTTTGTGGGAAGAGATTCGCGACAGCTGTAGGCATCTGCCTTTGGTGGTCTTCAAAAAAGCCTTCTGGTGGTGCCGCCTTCTCTTCATTAGTTTTTAAAGGACTGAGGATGCTAGTTTTTGGTGCATTGTAGGTATGAATTTACTAGAAGAAATAGCAGCAGGGCGAGGATGTAGCTGCCTCCTTTTGCCTGTACCTCCTGCAGTTTGGCCTGACGAGGACCACATGGCCCCAAGCACTGCAGCTCTCCCCTGTGCCTAAATCCCCAAAACTGCATGCAGGGAGGTGAAGAGAAACTGCTGCCTGGTGCGGCAGCCAGGGAATTAGTGCCTCTTGCTGGTCTGTCCAAATACCATGTCCCTCCCCTGCCACAGCCTACCCCCAGGGACACCTCTGTCATGCAGCCTGGCACGATGGAGGGAGCCTCCTTGTTCACAGCAGGGCTGTGGCAGCTCCTGGGCTGGGATTTGCACCTAGAAGAGATGTATGACAGAGGTTGACGTAAACTGTGTGATCAACTCCAAAGTGATAGAAGGAGAGAAAAATGCAAGTATAATAGTAACATAATCCTACTAACTGCACTTTCTCTTGGGCTGGTAAGGGGACTCCAATCAGACTAACCACTAAAAACCCATGAGGGTTTCATATATACAGAGTAAGTATATGTAATTGGGATTTACCTTGCTGGAAGTCTCACTGACTGCACATACATTTCATTTGCTTTAGGAGACCTAATTACTTCTGCATCTACAGTACAAAGAGACAGATTCTTAAGTGGGATAAAACTGACAATTTCCATGAGTGTGAACTTCATGGAATTTATAGTCCACACTTAAACAATAAATTACATCTAGTTTATCATAGCTAACAGTAAATATGAAACATACACCTCCTGAAGCGAGGGGAATAAAAGTCCACTTCCCTGCTCCTCCCAATTTAGGAAGTTTTTTTGACTTGATGCCTTAGTTCCATTTAAGTGCCAAGAACATGAAGTAATGTTGGCTTCTATTAATCTTGTTTTGGGGGGCATGACAGTTTTAATGGGAAAAGCTGATAAACATCAGTCTGTGAGTATGGGAGTGGACTGTAGCATAAATACTCTTTTCCTGAATGGTCGAAATG